TCTTAATCTTCACCCTGTCCCACCCTATTTTTGGGGCCTTATTTCTCTTCCTACTATAATCTCTTCCAAATCTATAGTCCTCTGCAACCAAAATTCTCCCTGCCTTGTTCTTGCCCTTGTGGCTCTGACACATGAAACTTGAATGTTTGAGCATTTGTTATCTCAGTGGTTTTCTTTAAATCCCTCAACAAAATCTACCTTTTCCACATAACCTTTGGTTTACCCTCTCAGTCCTCATTGCAACTTGGCTTGAAATACATACAGCAGTATTTGCACTAATTCTGCAATCTCTGCCCCCCACTCCCCATTTTACTCTTTAAGTTCCTTAGGCGTCTGGATCCTCTATCATACTCATGTAATTTTGTAAGACGCCACATACTTTGATGGCACAGTATAAACACCAGCAACCTGACCACTATGTAGGGGAGAAGAAAAAAAGACAGTTGAGAGCAGTCAATACTCTTGATATTAATTTGACAGTTGGTGAACCAGAGTGGTTGAACAAGTGCAAAAACTGAGATTATTGTGGGCCCAATCCAATTTCAACTGCATGCACTTGTTGCTCTTGTGTATTCGTATTCTGCTCTCAACTGAAAGCCACAAATGTGAAATAGGGGAGGTAGTTATACTGGCATAACTTGCATTAGTCAGTAATCCTTCCAATGGCCCTGTATGTCAGTTTCTCTGAAAACTAAGAGTACATAAATACTGCTGCTTTTATTATGGCTGACATTCAGCAGGAAAATTATGTAGCAATTAAGGCCATTATCCCTGTTTGACAAGGGATTTGGATTTCATTTTAAGTGCTTATGGCTGAAGGAAGCATACTGGTTAAGCTTGGCAGAGAGTAAAAAGGTGTTTGGGAGTTTAATTTATTCTTTCTATGAAAGGGTGACAGATATTTTATAGAGGACTGCAGCATCCACCGAAGTTTCAGGAAGAGAGTTAATCCCTGCTTTTGCGCACCACCTACAAAATGCACAGATACCAACTCATTTTCCACAAGAGCCTATGTAACAGAAAAACAGATTCATGTGTAGATAGTCATAACCACTGATTTCTAAGCTTATCAATGGATGCATCCACTCCACAAGACCATCATGAGACTTATCAAATGTAAATTAAGAGAAAATAGCAATATTAAATTACTGATTTATCCTAGCTAATGGTACTTTTTAAAAAGGAAGTACTGTGTAGCGCTACAGGAACATCTAACTGGTATGGGTATGCATATTAATGTTTTTAAAAACATATTTGACCCCACTATTACAAAAACAGGCTTTTGAAAAGGCTATGAGTTTTCAGAAAGCCCCTAAGTTGCTCTCAAGCTACAATTTTCATCCCTCACACTTCAGGCTAAAACATTTGGAGACAGAGGCTCCACAACCCAGCTTTTGGAAATAAGTACCTTCAACCTACAAAACATTTCCAACTGCATTTCTCTTTCATCCTGGTGTTTAAAAGCCAAGATGTCAAATTCAATTTGTTCCTGATTAGTACTTTCTTTTAGATACATCTCAAATGCTTGTCTATAAATACCATTATATTGCTTACCTCTAGTATAAGAAGAAAAATCTTGTTCTATGAGCAGCTGCCATACTTTCAGACATGTTTCTGACTTTAAGGTAGTTAACGAAACCTCGGAAAAACAGGAGAAGGCCTAAAACCAGATATATAATAGGAAATGTATTTAAAGATGCACAATCCATTTCTATAGCAACAGAGTAATATGGAGATGGGTATTATTTAAAAAGTAAATTATTGTGGTAAAACAATAATTTGTAATTCCACAAACATGTGTACAGAAGAACTGGCATACAGTCATAGCTACATCAATGTATCTTAGAAAATGTAAAAAATATTTCCTAAATGAAAAGTCAGAGAGAGCAAGACAATAGCTTCAGATGCATGAAAATTTAAATGAGCATTTAATTTTCCTGTGTAACACAAAACATTTCAGTCAGTCTTAAAACAGTCTACCAACAAGATTTTTCTGATAAATGCCAAATTCCAGATATACTGATTTTCTTCCTTGGGGTTCTTGTTTCATAATGAATAACACCGACTCAGGCACATGAAGTTTTCATGAAGGGTGGGGTGGGGGGGACTAGAGTTTCACAGTAAAATTACATTCCACACCCCTCTGCAAGCAAAACACTTGCCAAGGACACGGAAAGCATGTGCTTTGCCATTTTAAAGGATATAAATCTTTTATACTGATTTGTGTGTCGTTCCCAGACTGCAGAAATGGAAAACCACTTTTCAATTATCAAAAAATCTCCATAATAGAGCCAAATCAGCGTAGTGGTTCTGGGTGTGTATCATGGTAAAACTTTTACTTGTTAGAATTTTAAACTATACTCAGCCAACAGCACACATTTCCTATGGCAATAAATAGCCATGAGTTCAGGTTATCATTGATTTTGTAATAACAGCCACCAGACAACCAGAGAGGGGAATTTTAGAAAGTGGGAAATGGTTCCCTCTTCTCTTTTAGAACACCACTGTATTCCTAATGACCTCTTGAACCACTGGTTCTTAACTTTTGTTACTCAGATGTTTTTTGGACCGCAACTCCCAGAAGCCTTCACCATCAGCTCTGCTGGCTGGGGTTTCTGGGAGTTGCAGTTCAAAAACACCTCAGTAACAAAGGTTAAGAACCATTGTCTTGAACTACTACATCTCTTACTATATGCAGGATAGCAAAGATATGGGCCCATGAAACGTTAGTGGGCTCTTGGCAAATTTATGTCTATGCTATTCCCTCTGCCTTATGCATAATCATCACAAATGTTTTCTTTTTTCCAGTCAGAAATGTACTTGTACATTCCACCAAGGAAAGTGTGAAAGAGTGAGACTCAAAAAGCGTAAGTAAAATTTTTTTATATCTGTTGAATCACAATTTTGCTCTAACTTTGGGAACTGTCCTCTGAACAAGAAAACTAGCACATTAACAAATCATTTCTTTTCGGCTGAGCAGCCTGGCTGCACCTCCATTTTTAAATTTTTCAAAAAAAAAGAAGAAGAAGAAGAAGAAGAAGAAGAAGAAGAAGAAGAAGAAGAAGAAGAAGAAGAAGAAGAAAAGAAGAAGAAGAAGAAGAAGAAGAAGAAGAAGAAATAGTATTATATGGCAATATTGTGACAGGCCAAAACCTAGACTTTCCAGTAACAACTATATCTGGGCTGGTACTGCACTAAACAACCAGAGGTATATAAATGGTTTCTTTATGCGTAACATAAAAATCTACAAGTGAAGAAGAGAAGGGAAGGAAGTTTTATTATTCAACCATGGAAAACCCTTGGCTTCTGCACTCAAAACACTCCTAAGGAAATGAGACATTCTTATACCTACAATACACTGGCATTCCCAAGAAGTCAGAATATACCGAAGAAGTCACTCAATCCAAATGTTTCAATCTGCCCAGATGAATGTTAATAGCTATACACTGTAGTGGCGCACGACTATGTAAACTATTCTCATAAGCCCTATTGAGGTATTGTTCAACACAACAGTTTTGACATGCTTGGAGGGGAATGCCAAGCACCACTGTCACATTCATCATGGATACAATGCTGAGCCTGGGAGAAGACAATGGTCCTCTTTGTCTGTAGGCTCTACACAAGAGGAAGTATCCAGATTTTCCAGGGTTCTTGCCTGTAATGTAAAAACCCTGCACCTAGGAAGAAGGCACAGCTAGAACTCTAGAGGAGATCTTTAATCCTTGCTGCCTACCTCCATGACTCTTCCTATGCATCTCATTCTACCAGGGTCAGTGAAGAAAAGAAATGGGTAAATGGGGTTTGAGGTGTGAGGTGGGCTTCCCAGGCCCTCCTCCCCACCCCCAATATGGGGGGGGGCAGGGAGAAGAAGAGAGAAGTTCCAGAGCTTATCCCAACAACTTCTTTCCACTGTAAAGCAAATGGGAGGGAAGCCAGGGAGGGAAGGAAGAAGAAAAAGCAAGGGAGCAGCTCTGAATGCCACTTGTTCCTTGCTTCTGTCTCCCAGGCATTTTGCTTTGCAGCGGACCAATCAGCCAAACTTACTGAATCGTTTAGTAGCCTTACAACTGTCAGTGTCTGAAGGTAGAACTCCTTCCTGGTTTTGCACTACATGTGCTGCTGGATACATGAGCACTGAGTTTCCTCGGTGTTTTTGAGAGGATACTGGCGATTTTTCTAGGAATTGCTAATGTTTATATTTGTTTTTATATTTTATTATTTCATCAAGTTTAGGCATTTTTATTTTGGAGAAGTGGTATAGAATGTTTAAAACAAACACTGATGATCTGTAAGTACTTTTGGTATAGCAACAGATTTAGATGCACTTGGCCGGTTAAGACCAGATCACCAGCTAACCCTGGCGGTGTGAGCCAAGCTATGGACACACCATGAGTACTGAAATGCACTCAGAAGCCTTCCTCTCCCCCACACTCCAAGCCTGAAGCTTGGCAGACAGCTTTTCAAAAGAAAGCCGAGGGAACAGAAGCACTGTGTTCAGAAGGCATAAAGCCCTTCCCTTGCCTGAGTGAATAATGATTAATGCATGTGCAATTCTAAGGCAAAAAAGATGCCTGCATGAATGGAATGCAAAGTGACGGACACTCCAGCATTCAAAATCATTCATACAATCTAAGGTTGTTGTTGGTTTGTGGCTTTTTTCTTTCTTTTCTCTTCTCTTTTTTTGCATAGTATTTGTGCAAATTTTACTTATGAAAACTAGAGATCTTAAATAGAAAAGTTACAATTTTACAAGTATTTTTATACATTGATGTCATCGTATCTAATGGGATGAGCACCGCACCCTAGAGTTGGACACGACTGGACTAAATGTCAAGGGGAACCTTTACCTTTACTTAATGGTGTGTTTAGACACAAATGAAAACAGTTCAAATATAGTAGGGATTTAATTATAAAAACATTTAACTAGCCTATCCTTAATATAATCCATAACATAGATCTTCAGTTTTCTTAACTATAATTCAGAGGTAAAATATGGAATATCAATCAAAGTCAGAAGGGATTAAAAATACATATAAACTATATGTGTAGCCTGTATAATTAAAAATTGTAAACCGCCCAGAGAGTGCTTGTAGCGCTATGGGGCGGTATATAAGTCCAATAAATAAATAAATAAAATAAATAAACTAAATATATTCAAATACAATGCTGAAAATATATATGCAACAAAACTAATATATCGATTTAAAAGTCAACTATTATTCAAACTTTTGTACCTTGGGGATTGGTTTTATAAAGTCTACTAATGCCACATATCTTAACAATATGAACTAATATTTTTGAAAAATTCTCAGAGACAGCAATATGAGGAGTCTGTCTTATAGTTTGACAGTTCTCTCACATGTAAAATCAATGAACAAACTTGTGCCCAATTCTGCATACATAAACTATTTCATATATGTGCACATTCACATGTCTGCAAAACATTTCTAACACTAAGTCTGGATTATCCTTTTTTTATATAACATTCAAGTTACATCAAATTCAAAATTTAAGACTTACCGAGTACAAGAAATATCCACCAAAGCCAGTATTGCCCATTGAAATAACCAGTAAAGTAATCTGAGAACTGGGAGAAAAACAAATATGTAAGGTATATCTTAAGTAGTGCTTGTGACATGATGACAAAACAAAAGTATTATTTTGCATCTTGCATCTTGTTTTCCACAATTCATACATTTGGGGAGACAAGTACTGTGAAGCAACAGAACAGTAGAGGAAGGTCTGAAGTATTGTTCTTTGTGTGTGCTGCATAAGCTCAACCAACCTGTGAAAAAACATATTAAACATTGCCTATTAGCATCTAACATTCACCATTATAAAAGGGGTCAGTTGGTGTTTTCTTCCCCATTCCAGCGTCTACCATCCCAAACACATTACAGCAGCCCGCTGCTTTTGATATTAACACCAAAAGTCACATTAGTTTAATCTTATCAGATGGGGATGTTTAGCTGACCCCATAAAAGGAGAGCTTTTGACCTCCTGTACACCCCCTACTGATAATCACTGCCAAGAATACCGGTCCCATAAAAAGCCTTGATTCATTAAACTCCTTTCAGTTTCAAACGAGATGCTCCTGCATTCAGTTCCCAGCAGTGAGCTGAGCGCAGCTAAATGAACCTTGAAGGGCTGATTCAATCGTTTCTGTTAGGGAGCATGGTAGACAGTTTTGTCCTCTCTGTGATGTGGGAATCTGAACAGGCAGCTGGAGGGTAGGGCGTGATGGTTTTGGAGACAGGTATCTGGACTTGAGCAGACTCCAGACGACATGCTTCATTGATAAAAGAGTTGAATCAAATGTCTCCAGGAATTCACCAGAGTTACAACCACATACTCCCAGCAGCACAAAGTCTTCACGGCAACTTTTGAACCAAGAAAGAATTTAACAAAGTAAAAACAGCTTCCTCGTTTGCTCCTCTGTTGCCACCACAGGTTGGCTCACCGGTCAGTCTCTTATCAGTTCTCATTTTTTAAAGAACTAGACAGAAGGAAGGAGGGGACACTTTCTCACACTGCTTAACAATTTAAAATAATTCACAGGCATATTCATTATGCCAGTATTTGTTTCTATGCTTTTCATTTAGCTCTCCAGGTGTTCTGTAGGTCAACCCTCCAAATTATTGAACACCATTCAAATTACTGAATGTTAGCTTGGCTGTCTGGGGCTTCTGGAAGTCCAAGTCTGGAGGGCTGATGGTTGAAAATCACTGGGTTTATAGCATTTGTTTTTGTTTTTGCTTTAAATATAGTGGAAGAACCACTGATATATCTATCCAGCAGGCACAAACAGCTTCACAACACCTTGTCTTAAAATGGGACATGTCAGGACAACATAATGCTGAGTGGCCTCCCTCATCAGTATGACACATTCATTTTAGTGAGATGTAGTCATAATACCACTATGGTTTCTGAGTCCTCTGAAAACCTATTGCCATTGACTGCAACCAAGAAGTACTTTCTTTCTTTTTGCAGTCCCATCTGTTTCTACAGTCCCACCCATTTAAGTTAACCAATTCAGCCTGTTCAGAATAAGGACATGACGTGACTACATGGGCAAAAACTCAAGTCTGCAATGAATTATAGTACGTGAATGAAGATTCAGTCTCCATGCTTTGGACAACAGCAAAGAGTTAGAGAAGTGGTTCTCATCCTTGGGTAACCCAGATGTTTTTGGACTACAACTCATAAGAGAAGCCCTGCTGGATCTGGCCAAGGGCCCGTCTAGTCCAGCTTCCTGTATCTCACGTGGCCCCACCAGATTGCCTCTGGGGGCTCACGAGACAACTAGATACCTGTCTCCTGATACCCCTCCCCTTGATCTGGCATTTTGAGGTACCTTCCTTTTAAGAATGGAAATTATACATCCCTATCATGGCTTGTAACCTGTGATGGACTTTTCCTCCAGGAATCTGTCCAATCCCCTTTTAAAGGCATCTAGACCAGACGGCACCACTACATCCTCTGGCAAGGAGTTCTTTGCCACATAAACTCCCAGAAACCCCAGCCAGCACAGCTAGTAGTCCAGAAATTGCAGTCCAAGAACATCTGGATTACCTGAGGATGGGAACCACTGAGTTAATATTTGCTTGTCTGTTTGTTTATTGTTCCATTGGCGCACAGCACTATTCTGTGTGAGGTACATAAGAAAACAATGAAATAATACAATCAGAGATCATAAAACCAAATAATAGCAATAAGCCAGTGTTAGGCTCTGATGGCACAGTGTTTCACAGCAGCAGTATAGGGGGCGAGCAAGTTCAAAAGGGGTCAGAGGAAGCACCAACAGATTGGGAAAAAGAAAACAACAATAGCACAGACATAACATGCCTTGTGCTACTGGCCAATTTGCGTCAAAGTGTCAAGGTCCAGCTAATTAATGGCCCTCTGTCACTGCAAGGTCCTGCTTCTGCCATTGCCCCACTTCATCTTTGTTTTAGCTCTGTGTTGCGAGCGTCTGGTCTAATCCTTTCTACCAGCAGGAACAAACATACTTTTGCATGCACAGGACCACCACACTCAAGCAGCTGTTAGGACACAAACATTTGGGAAGGACCAAAGGGGAAATAAAAATTAATGCTTTCATGAATACACATTTAAAATTTAAAGCATCTGTGCAGATAAAAACAGTAAAGAACACTCACTCGAACAATAAGTATCCATTTGATCAGGGACAGCCCAAATCCACAGATGGCACCGTATCTTCCTGCTATGGTGTTAGTTATACAGAATGATAAGCAAAATCCAATCCAGTTGAAAATGAATGCCACTGAAATGAAAGAAGCACCGATTAAACTCATTCTAATTTAGATAAATTCTTTTCACTTTTATAAATTCTGACTTTATCAGTGAACTTGGACTTTTGACTTAGTGGAAAATGTTTAAAGGTTTTCCAAATATTACATTTTGAACCAGCAAAAACTAAAAGTGACTGTTTAGGATGAACATAATTGATATGATGGAGTAGCTGTGAGTGCCTGGAGGACATTTCTGAACTGAAGGAAAACAATCAAAGATCTAAAGCCTATCAGTCCATCACTCTTGACAAACATACAGAATGGACAAGACCATCATTTAGTCAATTTTGGATACTCTCAGATTTAAAAAAAAAATTGTTATGGATATGGCAACTTCCACATTTCTACTACTATGAAACAAAAATACTCCTAGATGAAATAAAGCACTAAGATAAATGCTGAGTATTTTAATACTGAAAGGGCAGAATTCTGGTCAAATTACTGCATGTGTTAAGGACAATCGTGGAACTAACTGCAGTGATTTCTGCACGGCCAGACTACTAAACAATACAGCAGCTGTTTACAAATGCATATGAGGTAATTTAAACAGGACACTGCCTTAAAGGTGAACAATTCAATCTCCTAATGTCCACATTTACCATGACCTAATTCACACAATGGGCTTTATCACTTCTAATGGAGCTGGGTGTATCTTATGAACTGGTTGTATCTAAACTATCCTCAAAGTTATACAAAACATTTTGAGAACAAAACAAATCACATCCACAGTAATTTCAACAGCACATTATCAATTTTTTCGGCAGCATGTGTATACCCAGAAAACCATGAAGTCAGGTAGTGCTGTCTGAATTTTAATTATCAGTGCCTCAGCATACACATAGGGCAAAATCCTGTTGATGCAGTTCCACCAGCGTAAACTGGATCAAGAACTTGAAATAATTATTTTAAATTAATTTAAAGCTTCCTATCCCACCATAGTGGGAATTTACCCCAATCAGGATTTCCCCAAGCAACTTCTGTACCACAAAACACCTTTTACTAGGATTAGTTATATGCTGGCTAAAATATACACTGATCCATAGTGATTCATGTTCTAGAGCCATCCAGAGAGGTTACTACTATAAAGTACAGCATTCAACTTTTATCTCTGAAAGCTGTTTGGAAATTTTAATTCAAAGTAAAACTGCTATGTGCTTAACTAGGGCTGAGTGAATAGAAAATTTTATGCCAGTTTTGAAACAGCTTTTCTAATTCACTATACAATTCACAGTAGCAAAATGGATATTTAAAACCTTTGACGTCTTAGGACCCAGGTATCCCAAGGGTTACCTTTTCTATGTGTCAGTCCATTAAAATCTTGCTTTGGCTCTTCTCTGTGTCTCTACCAGAACTTACAAGAAGCAAGTTCTCTGATGGTAACTTTTTACCTCCATAAAAGTACTCCACTTTTCTGGAATCTGATCCAGTTAATTTTAGAAATATTAATCAGCATAATTCATGTAATTTACTCTCTTCTTACCGCTCCCTTTTCTACAATTTGTAATCCACTCAGCAGAGCATATCCTACAGGCTATGTGTAACAGCCTACTAGTAGCTCAGTAAATCTGGTTTCGCTGCCTGCTTAAGGCTTGGATAAATAATTACAAAGCACCTGCCAATGCAGTATATAGCTGATATGCAGGGCTTGAAAAAAAAAAATCTAGAATGTCTCACCAATCAGTCAAAAATTTCACCAGTCAGCATGACTGGACTATAGCCTTGCAATTTATGTTTAAACTTAAATTTGAATTTAAACTAGGCCCTTTCTAAATAACAATGCGTACAAACCCAAAATAAATACACCCTCAGACTTGGGTTGCTTTAATACCTGCATGCCTGTGGGGGTCATGAAGCTTGTATTTTGAATGCCTTTCTTTTGAATGTCTCCAGCAAAAATAGAACTGAAAGCAAAAGCCCCCAGCCTGTTAAGGAGCCACATCACTCGGTTGAAATTGGGAGCAGGGAATCTCCATATTCTCCAGCATGGGACTACTCTACATTCTCCTTCAGAGCTATATATCTATGTGTCGCTCAAACTCTCTTCTCACAAGAAGAGGGCTGTTTTTCCTTTTGCAATGGGAAGGGGGAGGGGAGGACTGCAGGATCAGAGAGAGAGAGAGAGAGAGAGACTGACTGAGGGTAAGGAGAGAGGGAGCTGTTGCTTGTCAAGCAGCGTTTTTTCACTCGTCACAGACTGTTGATATGCCATGTTCTGTTTTCCATGTCACACATTGTGGTGGCCCAGTTTTCATAAAACTGAAAGAAAGCCAGTCCCATTATTTTGTTTTAGTCTCTGGAGTGTTTTTTTGTTTTGTTTTGTTTTGTTTTGTTTTACAAGAAATATCCAATAAAGCAAGGACTGTTTATTCAGGTTAGGCTTAAGCCAGGTTTTTGCTTAAGGTTTTTGTCTTGGCTACTGCTCTTTTTACAATGTGATTTTAACTGGTTTATATGATTTAATTATATTTGGTTGTAGTTGAATTTACTACTGTAAGTTGCCCTGGGTACTATTTTTGACAGAAAGACAGGTTATGTATTAAATCGGTAAATAAATAGAATCTACATCTATGTATAATATATCTACAGTATTAAATGTAAATAATAATCAAACCTCTTTGAATCAATGGAAACATTTATTTCAAGCATTTTAAAAACCAGCACAGATGGTTGGAAGATGCCATCAGTATCTTCCACATTTCAATGCTCAGTGCCATACAATGCAATGCAGAAGTTTGACACAAGATGGCAGTCACACATCACACAAGAATCGCAACCAGCCCTAAAGCAGGGAATGCCTTCCAAGTACAGAAACAAATGAAATCTGAATACAGAGTTTTGATTTAATGCTAGTAGTGACCTTTTTTCAGGTCAAATACGTGCTCCAAAGTACACCTCCTAGTTCTCACCATCACTGACTACAACTCTGGAGAGCAGATACCCTAGATCAGTACTTCCCCAACTTTGGGTCCACAGATGTTCTTGAACTAAAACTCCCAAAAGTCATCACGATTAAGCTGTGCTGGTCAGGATTTCTGGGACCTGTACTCCAAGAACATCTGGAGATCCAAGTTTGGGAACCACTGTCCAGGGATTTCTGAATAATGTGTAAGCAGCTCTGAGAAGAAAGCAAAATTACAAATAGAAGTAAATAGTGTTACTTCTTGTGTGGCTGGGAAGAAAATGAAATTACTGTAGTTACATCCACCATCCTTCCGTGTTTACCTTAAATATGAGTGGGGAATATGAGGCTCTCCAGAGACTGCCTGACTGCAATCCTGATGATCCCTAGGCCTGGGCTAATGAAAGTTACAGTCCAACAACTGTCTTAAACCGACAAAACTGACAAGCACTGCAGATATATGAAAAAGGTTACTTACTGAAAAAAGCCAACATGAAGATACCATCATTGCCAACACGGAGCTGGTCTGCATCACTGAAGTCATCCCTTGGTGGATATTCTTCTTCCTTTAAGGTTATGATAATTTTACATTAAAGTGGTATATATTTAGGTCTACCTGAAATGTAAGAATGTAAAAACTACAAATGTATGCAGGAGCACACAAGTAAAATGTTACTACAGACACACGCCAGTTGCTAAAACAAAAACTGTAAATGGCCTTTTTGTGAACTCATTTGATTGAAGAGAAGCTACTGACCAGATAGAACTTGTGTTCGTTGCTTAGGTTCTGCATATTTTTGAAGGAAGCTCCAGTGCTCCTAAACTTGATCATTTGGGGGCGGGGGTCCATCTTTTTCACTAGAGCCACAAACTGCCTCCAAGGCACCCAATCCCTTTCACAAACTCAGGCAGTTGTGCAGTTACAGCCAACCAAGAAAGGGATGGCTTAGTTTCACTTACGAATTTCGCTTAGGAGAGCTGCCTTTGAAGAGCATCTGGAAACATCAGAACAAGGTTCCTAGTCTGCCAGGAGGGCCTGAGCATATCGCGTTTAACTAGCTCCCAGTCAAATCCCTGACTTTGACCTTTTAAGCCCTCAGCTATTGGGAACCAAGGTATCTGAGGGATTGCTTGTCTTTTTTAAAATCCCCGTCCTATGTGAACCAAGTGGCCACTGAGGAAAAGACTTTTCAAGTCATGGAAACCCAGCCTTGGAATACCCTCTCTGGAGGAGCTTCCCTGATGTCCATATGTTTTTCAGAGTAGGTTACCAAATGAACACATGTTTACTTCCCAGGCATTTTAATAATGTCTTCCTTTATACTTATATTTTAAATGATATTTCCATACCTTTTACTCTATTCATGTATTTTATTTTCTTTGTTCCTCTACTGTTGCAAACCACCCTGAGAGCCTGGTTAATATTTTGTCTGTTAATATTTTAAATACTGTATAGAAGGTCACCAGCAAGAAGTGAAACTGAAACAACTAAATTTAATCTAATAGTCACAAATGATGTTTCCTCAGATCTGCCTCACACCGCTTACTGCAGAAAAGAACAGCATTTCTTCTTTATTTATTATACATATAATAAGTTTTTCGGGGAGACCAGGACAATTTTTGAAAAAAAAAAAAACCCTCCATGGTCTCCCACCAGGTGCTGACTGTATGCAGACTCACACAGCTTCAATCATACTGCTGTTATCAGGTACCCTCAAGCTATAACTTGGGCTCTAAGAAATGCCTATGGCCTCAATTAAACCTAGCCTCACTGAGGACTTGTTTTGGAAATAATAACTTTCTCCTAGATAAATTCTAGTCTAATTTGTTTGTACACTTTGTTGACAGAGAAGAAAACATGCCACCAAATGGTTGTGGAGTTTGGGTCTACTCCTCACAATCACAGAATTTGGAATGAGTTTCTCCAAGGAATGATAATATGTAAAGCTATATTATTGTATTTTTATTTCGCTTTATTAAGATATTTCTTTCAGGAACATTATACTAGATCAAAGGGCTATGACCTTGTTTCTTTCTTTTTAATAATTGTATCCCAGCCAGTCTTACTGAGGAGGAAAAAGACACCAACCAGTCTTATTTTGTTTTGATGCATTTACAGTTAGGATAGCTTTAAACATGTTTTTTTTTTCACATGTCAAAAGAATGAGGAATATTTGGCAACAAAGTCAGTAATGGGGTGTCCTTTGTCCTTTCTTAGTGCACCAGTGCAGATGGTGCCTCAGCCTCCGCAAAACTGGACAACAACTTCACATATTATGGTGTTGGCATAGACAACTGAGGCGTGAGTGACATATACACTGACTAAAAAGATACATGCACATATGATGGGGCAGCAACTTGGGGAAAATGTGTTTTAATGTAGTTTTTGAAGCAGCCACCACAACAACACGTCTGTGGACACAAGCATTCTGCATTCTAGAACCTTGTGTATGTCTCCTAATCAAGTACCATATTTTTCCATTTATAAGACGACCCAAAGTATAAGACGACCCCCCCCTTTTCTAACTTCAAATTACAAAATTTGATCCCTGCTTTTCCCTTCCTTTTGCTAAGCCACAGAGCTTAGCAAAAGGAAGGGAAAAGCAGGGATTAAAAGGCTCCCTTTGACTGCCGCTTTTCCTGCCTTTCACGCAGCCATGAAAGGGCTCCAGGATCAAAGGGCTGTGATCCTGCAGCCCTTTCACAGCTGCCTTACCCAAAGAGAGCCTTTCCTTCCTTTTTGCTAAGCCCTATCACTTCGCAAAAGGCAGGGAAAAAGCAGTGTATAAAACGACCCTCAATTTTTTGTCTAAAAGGGAAAAGTGTCGTTTTATACACGGAAAAATATGATAGATCCAACAAAAACAAAAGAAAAATAAAAGATAAAAACATTGCAGCACCTTAAATACTGTTATACTGTAGTGTAAGCGTTCATGGACTTTCTTTGCCCACTTCTTCAGACATATGAGGTGGAACAGAGATCACACACAGAGTAGAAATTTTATGTTAGAGTCTAACTGAAAGTGGTGCAAGGTTGCTTTTCACAAGTGCAACCTGTGTTAGTAAGATACATATTTTATATTCCTTTATTTATATTTTTGGGATTGGGTGGGATGGGGGGGTATGCTTATTTTATTGTGGGAAGCTGTCCAGCATAGTGGCAAGGCCACAATATGGTGCAGTATTACAACTAAATGAATTAATGAAAGAATGAAAGAATGAAAGAATGAATGAATGAATGAATGAATGAATGAATGAATGAATGAATGAATATTTTATAACAACCTTTGCTATTATTATGAAATGTTTTTTTCTTTCAACTTTAGTTGAGGCAACTGGTCTAAAGGGGAAGCTGTCTTTTAGCAACAGAGTATCTGCTTCTGACGCAGAGTTGTTTATTCCCGATCTTTGTCCATAAAAAGGATCTAGGGCTACAAACAGTATTTCCACTCAATGTTCCCTCTACTTTTCTGCCCCACTGGGCGCAACTCTGCCCCCACACCTAGTGTTCTGTCATGACTGGAACCAAAGGGGCTGAAAACAACTGCTGTGGATGCACGGAGGAGGAGGAATGCTGCATGGATGGGAGTGGAGTCACAAACCTTAGAGGGAACCTTGTTTCCACTGAAGAATATTAAAAATATGATTAGAAATTGTCACCATGGCTAAATGTTTAACCTGCTCCATATGTTTCCTGAGAGTAGGGGCACAGACAGTGATACATATACAAAGACTAATGCCTTCTATTCTTTACTTCTGAATTGTCATTGAATTTGATAAATTAAAATTGTACAATCAGAAGGCAAAGTATCCAGTTGGCGTGTCAGTGTCAGAGCATAACCCATGAATCTTTGAAACAGGTGATCTGCAGTCCATGAAAGCTCACTGCTAATGAATCAGTATTTAAGATACAAAAAACTCATACCAAGATCATCATAATGCTGTAATACGGAAAGCTCAGAGGAACAACTCTTGAATTAGGGAGCCACTGTCTAAGATTCTAAGCATATTTCTCCTCTTCAGGTATCTTTCTCAATTTCAACCAGAAAGTCAGAATTTAGTCTCCACTCTGCTTAATGTCTAAAGTTTTGCCGCCTAGTGTATTTTATATATATATATGAGATATGTGCAATACATGTTCATGCAATGTGCAATAACAATGGCAATCAAGAACAACACCTGGTTCACAAGACATTCCAAACTAAATGTTTTGCTGATATTCAGACACCAGAAGGTGTTTATGTCCAGAAAATGCTAACAAAGGTTAACTAAATTGTGGCTCTATCATTTTTGTGCTTAGCCTTACACATGCTATAAACAACTTCAAAGGATTAAAATTTGTAGCATGCCACTGAAGTAATCTTTTTCCCCCAAACAATTTTTCTGAGGTCTGTTTTCCATCTGTTTAAAAATACTAGAGTGCATAGAAATGCAGTCCTGAAATAGGATAAGAGTTCTGTAAAACTCAGAAAATAAATCCAGGAAAGTATGCAACCACTTGGAAAACAGGTGTATTTGTTACATAGCCTGTTTTTTAATCTGCATTTATTTTTACAGACATATAAAATTCTTGCCTTTTTTTCAAATGGTATTAAATGCTCAGCAATGGTGGCCGCATTCAAGACTCACCTGAGGGGTATGAATATTCAGCAATATACAAGGAAGACTGTTTTCAAAACTATATAGAATCCAGTCTACAGGCAGTCCAAATCCGGTATCAAGAAATCTTAATTCCTTTGGGATCTATGTAACGTTGTGGAAATTTAATGATATGCCTGGTTTTATTTTCTGTTCTACAGAGTTTTGGTTTCATTCATCACAGCATGGACACAGATGAAAAGGAGGTGATTCAAGGAAACAAACAAGGCAAGGCCATTAAGACCCACTTCCAACCACCGAAAATCTTACAGAACCCCACCTCTGACTCCTGCATTTTCAGCTTGGACTGACCACTGCTTTTCAAGCCTATCTCTGGAGTCTAGAAATATGCTCTTCGGTGGATATTAGTTTTACATTTGGTCCTTTATACTTCCACAGAACTGGCGCACACCTACAGCCCTGAAAGCAATTCCATGGGACCACGCTTTAATTCATGGATAACTCTATGAATAGGGTAAGCGCAGTGAAAGTGGTAGTAGCCCTATTCAGATGTCAAGCCTAAAAGACCGATGGGGGTGTGCAAGTCTCCCCATATCTCTCCACTCAACCTGAAAGGAAGGCTGCTCCAGAGTCCCTTATCACAGAAGTGATGACGTAAGCAGGTTCGGAGAACTAAGTAGGGAAGTAAGTCACAGCTAGAGTAGGCCCATTTGAAGGAAGTCACAACTAGACTAAGCCCATTTGAACCAATGAGTCTTATGGTGAAGCTGACTCACCAGATCCCTACTGAGTCAATGGGCCTACTTTAGGGTGAGTTAGTATACTGAGCAATAGGATTTCAGCCAATGAATAAGCTTAGCCTCATTATTTGTGTAATTCATGAATAAGGTAAATGATACTATTACATAATCATCAGAAAATACGTAATACAGAGATGAACTCTGTTTCTGATTAAAAATATAGTACACTTAATACATAGATCCAAACTAAGTCTTATTTACAGAAGACCACTTATTTCAGTGTGTCCCCTTCAAAGTATGATCAACTCTGGTGCAACTCACTCAAGTTCTATATTAATGACATATTCATTTATCACCAGGTGTGGGTATTTTTTAGGTTAGTTATGCACCGTACAATAGTGAAATATATTTAAATCTTAACAATTCTACACACAGATGATTTAGTTATATTGTATTTTTTTTTCCTGAACATTTTGTTGAGTGGTATTTGGGGCTGATAGAAACAGCCATTGTTTATAAGAGTAATGAAACTTGATAACTACTCATATCATTTTGTTTAATTAATATTGAAAAATGTTGTGCCAGAACCATGCCCAAAAGCCCAGTCCTATGCTTTGGTAGACAACTGATAAAATCACAAATATAAATATAAATTTATTTACCAGAGCTCCATCTTGAAGAATCAGACTAATAGGAAATGAATTCACAACAAGTGTGCATCCAATGTATTTCCTTTTTAAAATCTTTTCTACCAGATTTCTATTTCAAGAAATACATTTCACCTACAGTATTTTGGAAATGGCATCAATTGTCTAATCCAAAGGTAGAAAGAAGCCTTCTTCTTCAAGAGGATCAACTCTGGAGCCTTGAAGGCATCAAGTGGCATCTATCTGCACAAGTGAAGAATAATATGCACATAAACATGATAGATGTTCTACAGCCAGTCTGGTAAGGGGTTTGTCTTTACTTAAGAGCAGGGATGGACAACTTGCAGTTTCCCAGTTGTAGTTATACTGCAATGATTAGTTGCAGTTTACTGACATTCCAAAGACAACAAGGTGCCCACCCTATTCCAGACAAAGCATGGCCACCCCGACCAGTTTGGCCACTGATGGTATTTACAATAACAGCACTCTCCACAAGTATGTGGGCTAACATGTAGCATTATCCAAACATTTGGTTTGAAGTAAGGACTATTCTATTCTATGGGATTTACTCCTACGCAAGTCTGAACAAACAACCATCTGAGACTGTGATTCTACATTTACTTTTGTGGGAGTAAGTCTCACTGAATTCAACAGAGCTTACTTCTGTATATAGACAGATAACGTTTCACTATTAAGTCTGCATCTTTTAAGAAAGTAGTGAGAATTTTATTATGCCATTTTTAAGATTAGCATGGTGGCAAGTTCATCAAGAAACAGAGAAAGAACCAGGAAATATCATTTGTTTTTCCTTTCCGGGAAAACAAAACTCACTACAAAATCTAAACTTCACAGAACTGTATCATACCTCTGGTGGACTCAGGAATATTTCATCAAACAGACTCCTAGATTCCCTAAATTGGCCGTGCTAAGCATGTAAAGAAAATAAGACAGAAGAACTAAAGGAGTGTTAAGCCATTCAGTACAAGACAAACATTCAAGCACAGCTTCTACTACTCTAAATTTAAATTTAATATGATTTAAAATGGACTCCAGAAAGATAGCTCAAAACAGAGAAATTAAATTATTCAAGTACTAGAAATCAGGTATTGCAGTGATGTATTTGCATTACTTAGAAATGGAAAACATGGAAGAAAATATTACACACAAAAATGCATTTTACTAGGGATGTACATGGGATTTTGATGATGCCTAAGACAAAACTGTACTGCTTTCAACTAGTACTGGCCCCTCCCAAGCAGAAACAGGCTTTCCTCCAAAGCCACCAAAAGCTTGGGATCTGCATATTTATGTTTCATTTTCTGGGAACTGTCTTGGGGGGATGAAGGAGGCATCAGTGCAGTGGCATGACTGGTAGATCTACTATCTCATCTCAGAGTGTATTTTACCAGAGTCTCTCTAATCTCTCCATTTTGGAGACTGTGACTTTGCTAAACTATGATTTTCCTCTTTGCTGAACAGATATGTTGAAGAGTGACAGGATACAGGTAAATCCTACTATTTACTACTAATTTTTCCCTGTGGAGTAGACAAAGCATGGCAGTTAGGCATGATGGCAAGTGCAGGCAAAGATCTGACAATGAGGATGGCCATTCTTACAATGCCATCATATTTCACTAACTAAAAGGCCTAAAATAGTACATTCTATTTTAACATGTTTCATATGTTCTAATGCATTCTATTTTCATACACATTGCTCAAAAATGGAGGACTAAGGATTTCCCATTTCAACCCAAAATGTAAGAATTCCTTTTTACTAAGCTGCTGCAACTTTCATTACAGAACTTTGTTTAACATCATGTTTGTGATTTTGGGGGAAATAATCCCCAAGAACCTAAGGAAATAACCCTTTTTATGTTGGAAAGTTACATCTTGCAGAAAAATGCTTGTGCCTACATATCTCAAACTTGGCAGCCATAATTACCTCAGAAGAGGCAGTACGCCTGCACCTATTTTCCAATTCTGCTTAGAAATATAAAAGCTACTGGCAGTTCTATTCTGAAAAACATTTAATTTTAAAGCCGTGTAGCTCCACAAAATCCCGAAAACAAAATCTTGCACATATTTGTCTCTATTCCGTAAAGTATCTACCTCTATTTTGTAAGGGATATTTCCTTCTAAGAGCAAAAATAAGGATGGGTAATAACTTGATCAAACCACTAAAATCTCAGAAACAGGCTACCTTTTGAGATCAGCAGAATTCTCAGGTATCAAGTAGAAATCCAAGAGACAGCACCAAGTCAACATTCAGAAGTCAAGACTGAAACCTGATACCTCAAGCTGATTCAATAAGGCTGCAGCCTTCACTATGGATGTCCTTTTAAACTACAATACTGCCACAGCTTGCAGATAGGGCATACTGTACTGGATGCAGAGAATCCATGTTTCAATCCCTGACATCTCCAGGTAGGGCTGTAGTAACTCCTTTATTCGAGAACTGCTGCCAATCACAGCAGGCAACATTGAGCTGCATGGCAAGTGCTTTATTTGAGATTCGGCCATGTGTTAATCAGCAGTCACATAATTATATGCTCTTTTTCTTTTGTGCATGTAGAAGACAGTTGCAGAACTTTTACAACTACTGTATAGCAAAGATAAAAGTAAAATTACAACAAAAACTCGAGGATCTGTTAGCTTCTCTTTTTTTAGGAATAACTCATATTTCTTTAAAAACAATAACAGCTACTTCCTTATGAAGACAGTGAACAGCTAATATAAAATAAAGGAGATTTTAGATAAGCTGTACCTGACAGCAATGTTTACTATCCTATTTACAGAGCAGTAAAATTGATACCTGAGCAGTTAACCTGCATTTATGAAGTAAAATTTTTGGATTCTCTCATTTTTATTACACAGTATGAGAGCAAACAATACAGTGTCTATACATTACAGAAACTATATACCAGAAAGGGCCAAGATGAAAGCCTGAGCTATCTTCTCTGCTGAAGACTATTGAAGAGGACTTATATGAGCTACCTGAAGCTAAAATTGAATTAAAAGCAGAACTTTATATTGCAATGAACTTTTAACTTGTGTTTCATAGATGATACTGTCTCCTGTAACCACATATATATACAGTGGTGCCACGCAACACGAAAATAATTCGTTCTGCAAGTCCTGTCGTCTTGCGAAATTTTAGTCTTGTGAGGTACGTTTTCCCATAGGAATGCATTGAAATTTAATTACTGTGTTCCTATGGGCCAAAAAACTCTGAAAAAGTCACTTACCAGGTGGTGAGCTGGTGAAGCACCATCAGAGGACTGGCAGGTGGTCCCCCACAACTGCCATCACCGCTTTCAGAGGTCCTCCAGCAGTCCTCCGACGGTGCTGGGCAAGCCTCTGAAGACTTCCCCACCCTTGAATTTCCAACGCTTTCCCCCTGCCTTTTTCCGTTCTGAGGCTTGCCTAGCACCATCGGAGGCTAGCCTCCGAACAGAAAAAGGCAGGGGAAAGGCACCATCGGAGGACTGCCGGGGGACCTCTGAAAGTGGCGATCGCGGTTGTGGAGGACCCCCGGCAGTCCTCCGATGATGCTTCCCCAGCTCCCTACATGGTAAGTGACTTTTTCAGAGTTTTTTGGTCCATAGGAACGCATTAATTAAATTTCAATGCATTCCTATGGGAAAACATACCTCACAAGATGAAAATATCTTTGCCTTGCGGGACACCTAAAAACTTGCAAGAGGCTTTTGTCTTGCAAGTTTTTCGTTGCCTAGGCATTCATCTTGCGAGGTGCTACTGTATGGTTAATAGCATCCACCGTATATAGTGTAGTTCAAGAGCATTATACGTTTGCATGGACTGTACATGTTAGTACAGTCTACATACTGGCCAGAATGCTATTGGTGTTTGTGTAAAATCTGCATAACTTGCCACAGTTAATTTAGATAACTAATGAGGTTCTGGGGCACCTCTCACTCACATGCCTGGTTCACACACCTGATCATGCATTTGACCTAGCTACACAATCAATTACTTTGCCATGACAAGTCAACAAATCTGATACAAACACTAATAGGATTGCAGCCACAGATTATGTATTACTAGGTCTTTGTGTCCGTGGTGTTGGTAACTGTCAGGAAGTACGGAGACCCTCAATGTATTTTTATCACATGATTTAGTGTGAGGCCGCTTCCTCATTTCAACTATCATATTGTTAACATAATTGCAAAGCTGTAGACTACATTTAGGCATCCATTTTTTTATTATATAGAAAAAAATGAAGTTTCCAATGCTAGCCAGTTTTTATTCAGATGAACTATTTCCTCTAGATCAGTGGTTCCCAACTCTGGGTCCCCAAGACTACAGCTCCAAGCTAGTGGTGAAGGCTTCTGGAATTTGTAGTCCAAGAGAATATGGGGACCTAAATTTAGGAACCTCTGCTTAAAACAACAGCCAGGCTAGGAATAAATTCAAATAAATACGCACTGATCTTTTTTTAGGTGGACAGGAAGAGCCTGTGCAAGTTATTATGGGCCAACACAGCCACACCCTGGCTATTTTACTCTGTGACATATGCTTCCTGTCTGGTACTGACTATGATGCATCAATTTAAATGGAAACGGCCTACTGCATATAGTCGCCCTCAATGTACTCAGTCAAAATAGAGAGGTTTCACCAAGTTCCTTGCAACAGTATACTGCTCATGGGATGAACTTGCCTTGTTTAGGCATGAGTGCTCAAGGAAGACTTAGCTAATGATTATGTAAAGCATGAAGGTAACTGTGAAACAGTCATCTGGATTTCTGTATGTTAAGACATGCAGCAGAGAAATCTTTTTAATTTTTACGGTGCTTTGCATAGGAATTGAACCCTAAATAAGACAATTTCTTAAATCATAGATGTATTTAGAACAGTTATTTGTACAAGTGTTTTGGCTTCTTTTACAAATGTCTGCAAATTCTGTAACCAGCATATGAATTCTGTAAGATTTCATAAAACCCAAAAAGTGTGTTCTATTTTCACAAGGAGGCTCTCTTTCCCCCCCAGGTTGTTGCTAGAATTGTCTTAGCAGCAGCAAGAAGTTCTGAAACCAGTTTGGATGAATGATCAGAAATGTTTACTGAATAATTCATTTCCATATATATACTGGAGTCAATCTTACTTACATATCTGAATACTGTATGTTGGACATATTGCTCACTTACTCTTTGGGCAGTTGCTTCTGCTGCTGCAGCAGCCATTGCTGCAGCTTTGGCCTTCTCTGCTTCATCGTAAGTGGGAAGAGAGGTAGCTACACTGTAGGGTGGTGGCAATGGGTAGAATTCGTTAGGCGATTCCACTTCTGTAAAAGAAAAAAATGCATTTCACAATTCAGATGCTGATAATCAGACAGAAACTCGTTCCCTAGTAATATTAAGATACTCAAAAGTCACATTAAGTCACAAAAGTTATTATTAAATTATTTTTAAATAATTGTATACACAAAATAATGAGTTTGCGGAAGTCACCACAACTAGGTTTCCTCAGTGTTCTAAAAAGGTATTTTTCTTATTTATAACTTTTAAAGGATTTCAGCACTCCATGTTTTAACTTCTAAATTAATGATATGACTATAATTTTACTCTGCACAATACTTTCCAGTTTCCACAGGGAAGAACATAATTTTCTGAACACATATCTTATACTTGGTTTGTAAATAAATCCTCTTGCATCTTTTGACTTCATCTCTTTTAAAAAAATAATTTTGTAAATGAGCATACCGAACACAACACCTAAGAATACAACTGCCAGAATAACATGGTGTCTGCATGTAGTCCTCCATGCATGCTGACAGTCTCCAAACAAACTTTTTATGATGGATTAATTTCTCCATCAGCACTATTTGTTAGATTGCATAGAAACACCCACCACTTCTTCATTCTTTCCAATCCTGGATGTTGCCTTTTCCCCCCTTCTCCACATAGGAAGGTAACATACCTTTTAAAGGGGTGCTTACATATACTGATCATCTCAAACGAAGGAAGTATATGGTTGTCTTCTTTAGAACTATTGCTTTTATTCTCGTACACATTTAATCAATTATATCTAATTAGGCAGCTACTGTTTTATCATACCCAAAGAAGGCAACATAATGGAAATAAATAGTATTCATGAATCCCACTGATTTAATCTGGTCATTTGGTATTCTCTGCACAAAGTCATTTGGGCTTCTGTATTAAAGAAATGAAAAAAACTGTTGTGGGTTTTTCGGGCTCTTTGGCCGTGAAAAAGCCATTTTTAAATTGGAGAGCAACAGAACGTATGAAGTGATGATGCCACTATAATGCTACTGATTGGAAAGGCTGCTCGAGTATAGCTAAAGATAACTGAGAAGGTTATATAATCAAAAAGAAGTACCTGATGGTGTAGCTGCTTCTGCAGCAATGCTACAGTAAGGTGGAGGTGAAGTCTCTCCTTCAGGTAAAGATGTTTCTGTCTGAGAAGCCAGCACAGTTTCTGTCGAGGTGGATGGCTGTTCAACCGTTGATGATTCTGCAGGATCATCTTCATTATGAAGCTTTTAAGAAAGAAACATATTCTGATAAATGTTTGCCTATTCTACTCCAGTTTATTTTTCTTTGTGACTGAGGACAAGTAAACAAAGGACATTTCATGATCACCATGGCTCTTCTCTTGGGTGGAAGACATTTTCTAAAAATGAGCATCTTAAGAGTATATCTGTGAAGATTCTTAGTCATCCAGATGAGATTATCTGGAAATTGAGTCATGGCAACTAGACCTTTTGTATTAGGTTGAAACGTTTCGCTACTCATCCAAGTAGCTTCTTCAATCTGAGGAGAGTTGGTAGGAGAACCCTGAGGATATAGGAGGCTATAACAGGGGTCTCCTAACAACACTCTTCAGACTGAAGAAGTTACGGTACTTGGATGAGAAGCGAAACATTTCAACCTAATAAGAAAGAAGTCCAGTTGCCATGACTCAACAGGTTAATATATGTTGTGATGATTTCAGTCCCTTTCTGTTTGTTTTGCTTCTGGTTTTTAGATATGTATAGGTAAGTATTAGCTGTATGATGGAATGAATGGGTTGACAGTTAAATCAGAGTATACTTACACAGAATTCTGTCGTCATTGGCTGCTTTCCCCAGCCCAAGGGAGGGGGAGGAGGATGTAGCTAAGAGTGAATGGGTATTTAGGAAGAGAGTTGAATTTGCCAATAGTAGACAGGATTGGAAATTTCAGTTAAAATAGGATTTGGAAGTTTGTTACGATAAGCCTTAAATTAGGACTAGATTCTGTGAAAAGTCAGAATGCTATCTCAAATATATGTAAAGATTGCAAGAAATGTTTATAACCTTTTTTATTATTGTTTGTCATATTTGATCTGTCATTTAAATAAAAATACCTTATACTGTACTCTATGCAACAAGCATTTCGCTATTTCATAGTGACTGTTCTTGAGTAAACACACTGACTGCTAAGCTGGGGGGCTGGTGAGAAAGAAAACAAAGTGCCATTTTAAAAGATTTTTGATTCGGGAACTAGTGGTGGTAGTGCTATCTAACGGTGAGAGTCGTAACAAAACGCTAAAGTAAAATCTCTCCAGAGAGTTTGGTGAAGGGACACAATAGTATAAAGAAGCACAGTAGGTATCTGTCTGATTAGCAGCAGGGGGAGATCCATGGACAGAAGTCCCTGTGTACTACTGAAAGATGAGGAAAGCTTGCAGATGTCACACCAGTACTACTCTGCTGGCTGCAGAATGAGATTCCTCTCCTCTACAGCCAGCATGGAAATCCAAGACGCATAAGCAAGCTATTATTTGCAAAATTGCTTTGAATACTAATGTGCCACTTAGGAATATGAAAGAACTTTGGTTCAACACATCAACTACCAAGCACACAATCTCTTTCATATATCTCTGAACCCCCCTGCCCCCCCAAAAAAAAACTCATTGCAACTCTGGTGTATTCTAGCTCATTCTGTGCAAATTTCAGAAACAAATTGCCTCAAGTTTAAAAAAATCCCCATAGACATTATCTGTTGTGTCTTGAGTTGCATGACTCAGTGTGCTGCAACAGATAATGTCAACAGTGTTTTACCCACTTCCTTTATGTCTCCAATATTGAGAAGCTCTGCATTTTCTAAGTTATGCAGAATACAGTAATAACCAGCAAAACCTAAAGCATAAAGAATGTCTGTTTGTTGGTTAACTCCTTCCCCTCAAATTTCACAATGAAAATCAAATCATAAGTTTTTTTCTAGATCATTTCAAGAACTTTTAAAAGAATAGACTACACTTACAAAGTCAACATCCACCACATGAAACAGATTATGTTCATCAATTCCAGTCTTTCCAATGACAATGTTTATGAGGAAAATTCAGGTTTAAGATACCATTAGAGTGGGTTGCTTTGAATAATATGACAAATCTCAAAAAAACTAAAAGCCTTTCACTCAGTGAGCAACTGAAACAAATCCTACTTTTCACCAACAATGCCTCATGTGTCCCTTAATGTCACCAGTCATCAATCCAGCCAGGAATTCCTCTGTATTATGTTATTTACGGTACCTGGACGAGTCTTCTCCCTTCCTCCGTAGAGCTCTCTCTCTCTGTGTGTGTTTTTGTGCTTCCCCCTTTGTCTGGCTGGTCACATGATCCAGCTGTCCAGTAAGAAGCGATGGTCCTACAGGGCTGCTACGGATGCCCTGTAGTATCAGCACTACTAATGAGTACAGTATTGGGGGGGGGGTCTGTTAAGCCACCACCATTTTGCCTAGTTTTAGTAAGCTTTAGCCAGCATCCTTCCAGATCAGCATTGGAAAAAATGTGTAATTATTAGACTGACCACTAGAGGGAACCAAAAACATTGTATTTTCTTCATGAGACACACAGACTTTTCACCTCATTTTTTTGAAGGGAAAAGTGTGTCTTATGGAGTGAAAAATATGGTAAATTGCAAGGCAGTGCAGTTAATTCAAGACAGGTGAACTTTAGGGATAGTCTTGGGGATAATATTAGAACTGCAGAGCCAGAAGGGACCCTATGGATCATTGAATCCAGCCCGTCAAGGAGGAACAGTAGAAAATCGAATTCGCAACCTCAGACCATATGACACAGCAAATAATATGACCAATTTATTTTCTATCAGTTATAGCTTCCAAACACTTTTCAAGGGTAGTCCCATGTAGAGTGCACAGTATATGTTTTGCATTATGTGCCACCCAGTCAGAACAGACTTACAGCGAGCCTAACAGGGCTTTCAAAGTAAGTGAGCTATGTCAATGGTTCTTAACCTTGGGTTACTCAGGTATTTTTGGACTGCAACTCCCAGAATCCTTCACCACCAGCTGTGCTGGCTGGGATTTCTGGGAGTTACAGTTCAAAAACACCTGACTAACCCAAGGTTAAGAACCACTGAGCTATGTAAAGAGATGTTTTATCAGCTCTACACCCCCTCATGAGTTTCCATGGTGAAGCAGGTATTCAAATCTGAATCTCCTAAGTGCTAGCCTGTCATTCTATCCACCACATCACACTGGGTATCTGATGTGTAGAGTGCACTATATTACTCAGGACTAAAGATGGGATATTTGTGTTCAATACAAATACTGCCAGCACAGGTGGGCTGGGCTGATTGGATCCTTCCCCTCCGCCGAATTGGGGTGTCCACTTACTGACTGTGGTGTGACAAATGCAGCACATCATTATTCGTGCTGTATCAATCATGTAAGTAGCCTGGCTGGGCCTTCCCCACCTCCCTGCACTGCTGACCAATCCAGCAAGGAGAGAGGATGACAAGTCTCCCTGCCCAGCTCCTGAGTGGTCAGCCGCACCGGCCAGGCTACTTTCATGGTTGGCGCAGCGCAGACGACAACAGGCCACACATACTGCACTGCAAACAGCAAGTGGAGGGCCCAGTTCTGGGGGAGGGTTCTATCAGCCCCGCCATCTGTGGTGGCAATATTTGTATTCTTCTCCCCCAGGGAGATGAATACAAATGACCTATCTCTGGCCAGGATGCAAATAAGGCATGGATCAGTGTAGTCAAACCTGCTTTCTCCAGGAGGAGGTGAAGTTGGCACAGTATGCAAAGAAGAACAAACACACTCCTGGCCACAGCAGCTATATGGCCTTCAGAGACAATGCTGGTCCAAGAGCACCTCCAAACTACAAACCTCTTACTTTAGCAGGAGTGCAGTCCCACACATAGTATCTAGAAATATTGAAAAGTCTAAAAATGTTTTTATAAGCTTAGTCAAGCTATATTTTCTGTTGCAACTCTTTTTTTAAAAGTTCATACTATCTAGCAAAGTGTATTCATTAACAGTACCTACTTATCACTCACTGCAACAGCACTATGAGTCAGGCATTATCCCACAATAACCAATGTCAGATCATATGTTGTGGTTTTCTAAGTCAACTTCCATATGCACAGGGAGTGAACCACCTTACAAGCACTCAGTGAACCACATATGACAACAGACAAAAAGCATTACCCTGTATCGAAGGCATCATGTGACTCTATTCAGTTCTGCAAGTCTTCCTGTTTTTTTGTCACAAAGGACCTTCCCTACCTCAGATTATAGGAATTTAGTAGAACTGAAATATATATTAGATTCCTTTGCAACTGGAATGTATCTGGACACACCCCATGTTTACATTGCACAAACAGTACTGCTCAATCTCAGAGTGGATTCCTACACCTCCATTCCAGATATGCCGTGCTTAGAGCTTGCAATATTGCTATAAAGGAGCTTGTTGTATTACGCATTGTTGCCCTGGCAGGCACAGGCTGTTACATTTATCAGTTCTGGCTGGACAAGTATAAAACACTATGGTCCACATTACATATATGTTATTGTCCCTCTGCCCTCATCTCTATGTTTTAATTTAATATTGGAGATTACCCATAAACCTGCAACGGTTTCTTCTCTGGAACCCAATGGGGCCTGCAGCCACACCCTCATCCAGTGCAGAGAACTGTGTACTGTTTTCTTTCTTCCTCTTTTCTTATTTCTTTCAAAAACAAATTACATTCCCTGCTCTTTTAAATTTAAGGCCAGGTCACACACTACAGGCATAGATTCTCTAACAAACTGCAAGTGCTTAGTGAAGCCTCTTGTACTAATACTTAATAATATCCTTGGGGCAAATCAGATCTTCAATATTAGGGTGCTTTAAACCTACAGTAACAACTATGTATGTACTGTATATACTTTGTATGTACAGTATATACTTTCGTAATACTTTGTTTTTTGCCCAACCAGAAAACCAGTAGGTAATTTATGGAGGATTAATGTGAGCTTTTGTGGAACATGTCCACTTATTCAGACACAAGAGTGAAAATACAGATATTACATAGGGCTCTACAATAAGCAACAGTTTGGTTGCATTTCACTCCTAGTAATGATTTAAGATCTCTGTTTGGCGTTCAGTTCTTTTCTTTTGAAGCTTTATTCAGTAAACAGCAACAATGATTAGTGGCTACAGGAAACAACATCGAAAACAGTATGTGGTAGTAAGTTAAAAATGGCTGACTACCTGTGAAGCTTG